TAACCCTAACCCTAACCCTAACCCTAACCCTAACCCTAACCCTAACCCTAACCCTAACCCTAACCCTAACCCTAACCCTAACCCTAGCCAAAACCTCCCTAGTCTGGCTACTACATTTTTTGGTGGGTATCAATGCATCCATCACCACAACATACCAGCTCTTAAAAATAATCTCGAAAATTGCCCTTTTTCCGCAAAGCTGGCAGCAAGCCGGCGTCCGGTGTTCTTTTTCCACGTGGTTTGCAATCCGGCTGTGACGGCGTTGGGCATGTGCAGTGAGCTAAGCTCGATCTGTGTCGGCGTACCTTCGTAAATACACGAGGGAGCTCCACGATCCATTGCATAGCCGTCATGCGACTCCCTGTTCGCAGCAACGTCCTGCCTCTGCGTCTCTCGACCACCATGCTCCATCAGACCAGATCGACAAGATGAACACGGCCGCCTTTGGAACAGACAGCGACTCGCTGATCCATCTCGTCATCGTCGGTAGCGGATGGGCAGGGTACACGCTCTCGGCAGAGCTCGACTATTCCAAGTACAAGGTCACCGTCATCTCGCCAGACCCCATCACCACCTATACGCCTCTGCTCGCTAGCGCTCTGTGCGGACTGTTCGGCTTCAAAGTCGCCGAAGAGCCCGTTCGACGAAGATCTCGACCCGTCTCGCTGTACCAGGCTGTGGTGGACAGTGTCGATTTCGGTTCGAAGACGGTACACTGCACGTCGAAGATCAACTCGTTCGAGCCAGAGCGCATCGAGGTGTCGTACGACCAGATTGTGTTGTGTCAAGGCTGCAAGGGCAACGACTTTGGCATCCCCGGCGTCGGCGAGCACTCGTTCGCAGTGCGCAACACTAAAGATGCATCAGCGCTTCGAAACAAAATCAGCGACATACTCGAAAAGGCCAACCTGCCGACCACCACACCGGAGCGACGACGAGAGCTGCTTCATTTCGCCATCGTAGGCGGCGGCCCAACAGGCGTTGAGCTCGCCGCTGAATTGTTCGACACCATGCACCAGGATATCGCCAAGATGTTCCCGCACCTCGAGGAGTACTTCAACATCGCGATCTACGACGTCGCGAGCAACATTCTCAGCAACTTCGAGGAGGATCTGTCGACCTATGCACTCGAATCCTTCCGCAGGAGAGGCGTCAAGGTCCATACGAGCACGCATATTACCGAGGTGCGCGATGGCAGCATGACCACGAAGGAGAAGGGCGAGATCAAGTTTGGCATCCTGATCTGGGCGACGGGCAATGCCAACGTGCCGCTGACGGAGAAGCTCAACTGCCGCAAGTCGAAAGAAGGTCTTGTCCGCCTACTGACCGACGACCAGCTGCGACTTCACTACACCAATGGTCGCATCATCAGAGACGCTTTTGCTATCGGAGACGCTGCCGACATTGAATCTCTCTCATTACCCACCACCGCCGAAGTCGCCGTCCAAAAGGCCAAATGGCTCGCCAAGAACCTCTCGGCCAATGGCGAGGGGACGCCGTTCAAGTTCCACGAGAAGCGCATGGTCGCATACTTGGGTGCTAGCGCCGGTGTATGGCAGAACGACAAGGTCAAGCTGAGGGGCAGGCTCGCATGGTTGAGTTGGCGATCAACCAGCTTGAGCTGGACGCACGACTGGAGGAAGAAGATCTTGATCCTGGTCAACTGGACGCTCAACTACTTCTATGGAAAGGAGATCGCGCGCATTTGAATAATAGAATCTTTTCTGCTAGCCTTTGTCGCTGCTCGTGAGATCAGGCTGGCCGCAGTGTCGTGCGCGAGCAAAGACAGCATCTCGACAAACGAAGCGGACTGCGGTCAAATCTCAGCGATGCGCTTCAAGTCAGAGCTCAGTCTGTCGGCTCAGAGCCCCACTCGAACAGATTTGTTAGACACTGTATGCTTTCATTTCTGACGAGCCTCTAGATGAGCGCCAGATCACCACCGCACCTGTGCGTGCTGTGGTCCACCTTCTTGGCCGCGAGCGCCCTCTTCTCGGGCCTGCTCAAGCCCCTCTTGCCCAAGCTGTCGAAGCTGGTGGCATAAGTAGCTACGGCATGAGCGATGGCCTTGGCGTTGACCTCGAACGCCTCCATGGCCAGGTTGTCCACCGTGTCGCCGACCTGGTGGTAGTTGGGGTCATAGGCGATGCCGGCGGTGCCGCCGAACATCCTCGCCTCCTCCTCGGTCTTAAGCTGCTCGGCACCGGTGTCGAGACCACCGGCAGCAATACCGGCGTCGAGGAACGGCCCGTAGTCGGACCTGCCGTCGAAGGGACCCTCGACGAGTGGCTTCTTGGCGACGTCCCTGAAGTAGTCGACGAACATCTTCTCGGCCTCGGCCGAGCCAGCCGGGCCAGGGTCGTTGAATGTGGATCCATCACCGTCGTGCACGCTGAAGACGTAGTTGGGCGAGGCGATCATGTCGAAATTGAGGTAGAGGCGGATCTGGTCCTTCTGCGCCTGGCTGAGCTGCTCGACGTAGTGCTCGGCACCGAGGAGGCCGAACTCCTCGGCGGACCACCAGGCGAAGCGGACGGCGTTGGGAGTCGAGTACTTGGAGAGCTCCTTGGCGAGGGTGAGCAGCGCGACCGAGCCCGAACCGTTGTCGTTGATGCCTGGCCCAGCGACGACACTGTCCGAGTGCGCACCGACCATGATGACCTGCTCCTTGTTGCCGCCCTTGGTCTCGGCGATGACGTTGTGCGTCAGACGGTCCTCGACGACGCCTTCAGCGGTGAGGTCCGCAGTGACACGCTCGCCGGATGCGAGGCGAGTGGCGAGGGCAGTACCGATGTCTTGAGTGACACCGACGACGGGGACGAAAGGTCCCTCTGGAGAAGGTCCCTTGCTGCCGAGCGTACCGGCAACATCGCCGTCAGCGTTGTTGTAGATGATGACAGCCGCAGCCTTAGCGGTGCCGGCGCGGCCCACCTTGGTGGCGAAGGGACAGGTGCCTCGCTTGACGAGCGCAATCTTGCCCTCGACGCTGGCAGGGTAGTCAGCCTGGTCACAACCGACGTTGGCCACATTGACGATCTCGACGTCCTCGAACGCGCCGTTCGGCGAGTAGGTGAAGGTAGCGGCCTTGGTAGGCTGGTTGTCGATGGCGAGCTCAGCCGAATGCTGGGCGTAGGTGGCGGTGAAGGGCTGGAGGTAGACGTCGTAGTAGTCCTTGCGACCGCCCTTGGTGAGCTCATCTCGGATGTACTCGACGGTGGCCTTGTGGCCTGGCGAGCCGAAGACACGGTTGCGCTCCGAGGAGGCATAGGCGAGCGACTGGAGCTTGCGTGCGCCCGAGAGGAGGTCGTGACGCTTGATGTCGTCTCGGAGTCGTTTCTGTGTTTAGGTGAGGGCATACAGCGAGTTGCGTGTCAGTCGATCCGGTCATGAGCTTGGTGCGAAGCTGCTTTCTGGATGTTTGTGGCAAGACGAGATCAAGATGACTTACAGATTCGACAGGTCGAAGCTTGCCTGGGCGAGCATATGCTTCCTGGCTGGTGCTGAGCAGCGCGAGGGCCACAGTGGCGAGAGGAAGGAGAGTCGGCGTCAACATCCTTGTGAAGATCTAGGGGTGGAAGGAGATCGTCTAGGGATAGGTAGGGGATGCGTTCCGGTCATCACGAATGAAGAAGCTCGACTTTATATGCATGCTCGTCCTCGTCTACGTCTGAACGCTTGCATGGAGCTCACCGCGCTACAGCACACCTTCTGAGTCTCCATCGAGAGCTTCAGTGCCTTGCTCGGTCTAAGCAATGCTCGAGCTTGTACACCAGCAAGTTCATGGTCTCGATAGGAGCGGACGGAAGAAGGTCTGCCGATGCAAATTGGTCAAACTCGGTTGCAGACACTCGTAGCCTCAAGCTTCCATGATCGCAGGCTCGTCCAGCGCCAAAGCAGCGGCGCGACGTCAGCTAGTGCGGCCTCGGACAGCACGGCGTTACCGCTGGCATTGCAGCCGCCTCGTACCGGCAAACACGCCGTGCATACAAGATCAAAGGCAGGCAGATAAGGCAGTTCAGCAACGCTATCTCGACGAACAGCGATTGGTCCAGAGAACATCAGAGCAAGGGTCCAAGTTGTCAAGAAGGACAGACGAAAACGCCAAGAAATGGATGCAGACTACGGAGCGAGGCGTTCCATAGCGCCTGGCTTGCTCCCACACACGACATCGCTCGTTGGCGCCCCCCACGCGAGCCGGCGTGCTGCAGCCATGAATAGAGGGGGAAAGCAGCGCTAAAAGGAGCAGCTGTGGACGCGGAGGTCTTGGCGCTGCACGTCGAGCATAGCCGATCTACGGTCAGACGAGCTATCGCTGGAAGTGACCTCGCTTCGAGATATCAGCCTTTTCCCTTCGAGATCCACGATCTGCACCATTCCGATCTTCCGCTCGCGATCAAGCAACTCAAACGACATCGGCGGGCTCTTCAGCGCCGAGTGGCAACAAGTTATGCTGCGATTCAGTCTGTGCAGGAGCAAAGACAAAGCAGACTAGCTTAGAATTCTGAGAGAGGACGATGGGCGCAAAAAGTGATGCGAAGACAAGAGCAACTGACATCGAAAGGCAAGTCAGAGCAACGACTGAGTGGCGAGTGATGTCGGAAGGGTTGCCTCCGAGAAAGGGCTGGGACTCGGGCTGCTGATGCTAAGGCGTCGGCGTCAGGCTGCGTTGTGAGCGGTTCGAGATGTTCCGGGTCGCTCGCTACCGGATCGTGGTCAAAGAGAAAGCCCTCTTTTTGTAAACGAGGTTCTTGGCAAAGTGGAAGAATTCTTCGGCTCGGCAGTGACGGATCGACATCGGGGATGTCCATTACTTAGATCGGACCTCCCTGCCCTTCTTCTGAAGAGCGCTGGCAAGGGTGTAGTAGTCCGTGAGCTGTCCGCTTTCGGTCAGGGCCTTGACGACCTCTCGGTACTCGGGAATGGTCATGGCCTGGTTGACGAGGATAGCTTTGAGAGCGTCGTCTTCGATGGCTCGACCGTGCGTGGCGTGCTTGTACTCGAGCGAGAGGGACTGAAGCCGATCGACGAAGTCGTTGATGTCTTTGTTCGCAATCATCAGCTGCGAGACGCGGACGAAGAGAAGGCATGAGGCAGGCGTTTCAGCAGGCATTCTGTGTAAGTGCAGTGTTGCGTTTGGTGTCTGAGACAGAAGTGTTGATATCGTGATGTTGGCAAGTTGGACGTTGCTGATGAGAAGCGAAGTGGGTGCTCAGCCTGCCTTAAGAAGCTTGATCGGCGGCACCACCAAGCGCTCATGAGGTCGGTCGAGGCAATAACGACGGTGGGACGCCACGTCACACTGTGGATCGATGAGATGTGGTGGGAACCTCCTTCGAGATATCAACGTTGCAACTGAATATTACTACAACTACAGTCTTGACGGCGAAGACACTCTTGTCGTCGTTCCGTTCTTGTTGAAGCGCTCACCGTACCAGCCGCAGATGTAGTCAACAACAGGCTGGGTGCGGCCGCGATACATGTGATCCGCTCCTTCCACCAGCTGCAAGCGATGCGATCCGGGCCTGCGCTGCTTATCGGACTCGAGAGCGCCAAAGTAGCTGTGTGCATCCTCCTCGTGTACGATCTGATCCGCTGTTCCGTGAAGTACGAGCCTGATAGCAACGATACGGGTCGGCACGATTCGATGTCAGCCCCCCGTGCGTCAGTACTCAGGATGGGAGAAGGGCGAGCAACTTACACGTCGGTCTTGGTGTTGAGTTGGGCAATTAGCGGGGCCGGGGTTTTGAACTCGGACATCTGCTGCAGATCGTGTGGCCAAACAACGTACTCTCGTTTCTGACCTGCGCTCGTGATCTGCCACCTGTAGAAACCGTCCTTGTCGAAACCCTGTTGGAATCTGCCGTAGGTCTGGAGCACCTTTTCCATGTGATATCGCCCGGATACGACTATGAGATTGGGCACGTATGCTGCTTCGCCGAGATCGCTCTTGAGCTCATCTGTTGACCTGGCAAGATACATCCATGAGATCATGGACCCTCTTGAATGCCCCACGATGAGATCCACAGTGTAGCCGTGCTGGTGATGCAGGTGGTTGATAACGCTCGAGAGGTCCTTGACGTCGTTGCTGAGATCGCCCATGGTCCAGTCGCCCTTGGAGTCACCATTGCCGCGGAAGTCGAAGCGATACGAGTCTATTGGTAGCGCCTGTGCTAGCGCTCGGTGGTAGCATTGGTTCTTGTGCGCGAGAAGACCGTGGAGGATCAAGGCGATGCGTTTAGGTGCGTTGCTTGAAGACGAAGGTTTGCGATGCAGAACGCCGACGAGGTCGACACCTGCCTGAGGTGAGGGTATGCGCAGCTCTGTCTCGGCATTGTCGGTCATTGTTGCAGCTCGAGATCGGTGATGAATGTGATGACGAGCAGGTAGTAGGCGTGAGGATCGACTGGAAGCGAAGGCGAAGCGTGTTGCACACGGCAAACGTCGCATCCGGCAATACTCGAATAGCCGGCGGAGCGGTTTTGGAAATTCAATCCGCATCAAAATATGGAAAATGGCGACTCAAAAATGTGCGCAAGAAAATCTGACGAAAAAGAGTCGCCGTGTTGTGCATCACATGCTCACAACACTGTCCAACAGGCCGGCTGGCATTCGATGATGATCCCGTGACATTGCGTTTGACTACAGAGGAGGACGGATGACGACAAAAGCAGCGTCGCCCTGAGTCTTGAAGTGGACTGCACCATCAGCATGGCGTACCAAGGTGGTGCTGCCCGACTTGAGCTCGGTGGCCTTGCTCGAACCACCACCAACCTTGATCTCGACGCTACCCTTGAGAACGACAATCACCTGGAAGCTCGCGTCCACCTCGGCATCCTGCTCGAATCGGTCCATCCTGAAGTACTCCAGCGCCGACTGAGCCAGCAGGTTGCTCGACTTCCTGCCTTGCGCGCGCACTACCAGCAACGAGAGCTGCTCCTCGGTCAGGGTGGAAACGTCGACGGCAGTCATGGCCTTTTCAAAACCCAGCCCGAGGTGACCATCCTTCTTGCCGTCCAGCTTGAAGTCGCGCCACTCGAGCAGGATCGACATGTCTTCCGGCTCCTGCACCTCGACGAGCAGGATCCCTTCGCCGATCGCGTGCAGCAGTCCAGGTGGGACGTAGACCGTGTCACCCTCCTGAACCTCGACTCGGTGCATCATGGCAAGCATGGTCTCGATCTCCTGAGCGTCGACCATCTTCAACATCTCTGCCTCCGAAACGCCCTCCTTGAGACCCAGGTAGACCTCACCAGGGGTGAGGATGTGCCACGCCTCTGCTTTGCCGTGGTTTCGGTTGACGTGCAGTTTCGCCCAGTCAACGTGAGGGTGAGCGTGGATCGGCAATCGCTGCCCTGCGTCCAGCAGCTTGATGAGCAGCTTGGTGTCGTTGCCGTACTTGCCGACGTGCGCAGGTCCCAGCCATGACGCCGGATCGTTCTTGATCTCATCCACGAGAAGCGTGTCGGTCTCAGAGAGACGAGTGAGGCCGAGTGTGTCGTGGCCAGCACAGCATGTCGTCGAAGCCACCCAGTCCTCGGGTTCGCGCTGGCTCTTGGATGCTTCGCCGCGGAAAGAGGCGATGCGTGGTCCGCCGAGGTAGAAGCGCTCCGGCAGTTGATGAGAAGGGAGCTGGATGGGACCTGTCAGCTTGGACGCCTGGCCCAGCACGTCATTGGATTCGCCTGGCATGGTTGGCAGATGTGCGTGTCGTCGTAGGAGGAACAAGTCGTGGTGGTGCTACGGCAAGGTGGAAGGGATGAGCGTTCATATATCAGACGACATCACCCACCTGGTCCGCCCAGGCCGAGCACATGAATCAATGCTCGATGCTGTGGACGCAACCCGGGGCGGAAGGAGCTACAACAATGGAGGCTCGGGCAAATTTCGGTAGCCTGGACCCTGCCTTGCAACGGGCCAGTGAGGTCGAAGCTTCGCACTCCCGCCACGGGCTAGCAATATGTTTGTCTGTCGCTGCGTGTCGTTTAGAGGGACAAAGTTGACCGGCGAGTCCTTTCTTTCGCTTTTTGCAGCAGCAGACGCGCACATCGGTGGCCGGCAATTCAATTTCACCGAGGGCCCCGCGTTTGCCGGTCGGGCCCAATTTCACCGAGAGCGCTCCAGAGGCTGTTTCCTCCCTTGTCCTCCTTGGCTTGCCTTCCAGCGTGCCTACGTCTCATTGTCCCACCCGGTTACACACATTCTTGGACCGAGTAGCTCGCCTGCCAACTCGACCTCGGACCCTATTGTTCTCGAATCAGCGCTCCCACACGCTTTCATAAATATTCACCAGCCTCTCTCGACTTTGTCCACGTCTTTCATCTCGAACCCACTCCTAGTCGACGACCGAAACCATGACCGCTTCCACCGTGCCCATCATTGTCAGCGCTGCTGAGCAGCTCGAGATTGACGTCGACACCCTCGATGTCGGTCTCTCGCAGCAGCTCAAGTCGCTCGGCGTCCACCCCAACGACATGACCTCGAACCAGTTCATTGTCGCCGACGCCCTGGCTACCGAGGAGAACCAGGCCATCCTCGAGCAGGTCATCCGCGACAGCCCCGATGCCGACTGGCTCACCATCCTCGACAAAGTCGTGAGTATCCACTGCTCGGCGCAACGACTTGCATGTGCATCCGGCTGACATTATTTCATTTTGATCTTTGTTCTCGTTTTCCCTCATCGCAGAGCGTCAAGCTGTGCTCGCTCAACATTGGCAACATCTCTGGCCGCGCACTCCTCCAGGCCTCGCCCTCGCACGCCTACAATGCCGAGGGCATCGTCGCCCACGCCCTTGCCTACGACCGCGAGTTTGCCGCCGTCGGCATCACCAAGGAGCGCTACTGCATCAAGATCCTCACCACCGGCGCTGGTATGCTCGCCTCGCAGATCCTCCAGAGCCAGCACGGCATCCAGACGCTCGGCACTGGTCTCTTCTCGGTGCCCCAGGCGCTCGCCGCCGCCCAGGCCGGTTGCCTCTACATCTCGCCCTACTACAACGAGATCCTCGCCCACTTCACCCCTCCCGCTGAGAGGTTGGTCTACGAGAACCCCGCGACGCAGCACCCCATGTCGCCCCGTATGGCGCACATCTACCAGGCCTACCGCGACCTTGCTGTGGCCAACCCATCGCAGCGCGTTCCCGTCATCAAGGCTGCTTCTTTCATTGCCATGAACGAGGTCCTTGCCATGCCCGAGCTCGGTGCGCAGCAGACGACCATCCTGGCCCCCACCCTGGTCGAGATGATCTCTGGTCAAACCACCGCCCGCCCTGCCGGAAGCAAGGTCTACCGCCCCAGCAAGACGTATGCGCTCGAGTTGCCCGAGGCGACGCTGCCGCTGCTCAAGGTCGACCCCCTCCGCGCCGACGGCGTGCCCCAGGTGTTCGACCTCAAGACCGACTACCTTGGCAACAACGCTGCTGGCCTCGAGGCTGCCATCGCCGCCGACCCCGAGACGAGCAGGAGGATCAAGGACGCCGTCGAGGTCTTCCAGAAGGCCGAGCTGCAGGCCAAGGCGCTCATCGACGCCGCCATCCTCAAGGTCCGGGGTGTTACTGTTGCTGCTTGATTTTTCTCCCGCATGTCACCGTTTGGAAGAGCAATTGCATACGATTCAAAGGATACAGTTTGAAGCGAGTGTGAAGTGAGAGTGCCTGTGTGTGCCAGCGGTGCCTGCGTGCGCGGGATGTCAATGCGAGCCCTTGTTGTAGATGTCGTTATACGTGCTCAGCGCCTTTTCCTCCAGCTGCGACCATTCTTGTCCATCGAACCGGTTGACATCGAGCTCCTCGACCATCCACTTGTCGTCCTCCTTCAGCTGGTCCAGCAGCACATCCGCAAGCAGCTGTGCGCACCCCGCCGCGTGGGTGACCCAGATTGCACTGGCCACATACACGGTTTCTTGCCCGCGCACGCGACCCAACAACGGCTTGCCATCGGGCGTGACGCTGAAGAGGCCGTTGAACGCGCGCTCCTTGCCCACCTGGTTCGGGTTGACGCTGAACTCGGTCGCTGTTTCCTCTGGCAGCAGTTGCAGTGCGGTGCTGAGGACGGACTCGAAGCTGCTCTCCCACGATCCGTACGCCGAACTTGTGAGTGCGGAGGAAGCGACGTGGATCGGATCGTGCGCGTACGACCCGAGCCCATCTTTGACTCCGTGGTCGCGAACGTAGACGTGATGCTCGGGGTACCGAACGAAGGGCGTCTTTCCCGGTCTCTGGGCCCGCTCGGCGGTGTAGATGTACGGATGGGCGACGGGCAATATCGGCAGCTGTTGCAGGAGGGTGCGCGTCCAGATTCCCGTACACAGCACGATCTTGTCCGCTACCAGCTCGCGTTCGTCGCTCAGCCGCACACTGTTCGAGCCGATGGAAACGACGTCTGCGTCGAGCAGCAGTGCACGTTGGGATCGAGCGATGTCCTGCTGATACCGCGCAATATGTTGAGCGTTAGCCGTGCCGTCGTTGGCGAAGAACAGTCCGCCTTCGATGCCGGTGCGCTTGATGAAGATGGGCGCTTTCTCCACCAGAGCGGTCTTGCTCAGCACTTCCGCTTGCAAGCCTGCATCACGCGCCTTCCCCGCTCGATTCTTGAGCCCTTCGAGCCCAGCTGGGGAAGAAGCAACTTCCAGCCCGCCTACGACATCGAATCCGTCCTTGATCGAGCGATACTTTGTCACACTCCGGCGAGCGAGCTCGGTGAGAACAGGCAGCTCGTTGTACTGCCCCACGTAGCCTGGTGCATGACCTGTGGATCCGGGCAGACCGCGGACCGAGCGGTCGACGAGGACCACCTGCTGGTTGGGCGAAGCGGAGAGGATGGCGGCGAGCGAAGAGCCTACAATGCCGGCGCCGATGATGAGGGTGCGTTTGCGATCCGGTGCGATGGCCGATGTCGGGTCAAAGGGCACCGCAGTGGCATTGGTGGCGGGTGACGAAGTCATCTTGCGAAAGCTGTGGATGGAGTTCGAAGGTGATGTTGCCTGTGCGAAGAAGATGGAGGTGGAACGGAAACCCGGTCGTGTAAAGAAGGTTGATAAGAAGCTACCGCCAATTCGAGAAGCAAATTCCACGTGGCCGGGCAGGTGAACAGACCGGCAAATTTCGGCGGCAAGTTGCCGAATTTAGCCGTGCCACCTCGTCGTGCGGAGGACGAGGAATAGTCGGGCGTTAAGGGGCGAGACGAGGATCGTGGGAGTGATGAGACCATGATGATGATCTCAATCTATGTGCTATGTGAAGTCGCTGGCCCTTCTTTGTGAGTGGGTTGCGAAAGAAGCATTCGTGCTCGTGATGCTGCATAGACTTTCTGCTCTACGCGAGCAGGTAGACAGCCGATCTCGAACAGCATGTCTCGCCTTGTATTCGTAGCCAACGCTGAATCGAAACAGCCAAAGAGAGCTCTGACGTTGCCCGTTGAGCAGGTCTTATCGACGATTGCTGCTATCTCCGACTGCTTCGTAGTCAGACGTTGGATTGAACAAGACTAGGTACGGCTGGCGGACGTTGTTTCGTCTTTCTCGTCTCATCCGTGCTGATGTTCATGGCAGGCTCATGGGAAGCATACGGTTGAAGGTGACACGGTCGAAGTCAACGGTGGTGGTGGTGGGAGTGTCGGTGCTATGAAGGGACTCGTCAAACGTATTGTGGCCTCTCCAGCGAGAACGTTCTCGCGCTTCGTATTGTCTCCCAGGCCTGCCAGGGCGAGAACAGGTGAAGCGAGGATCGCGAGAAGGCTAGCTCGTTTGTGCCACGTGATCCTGGACAAAGGCAACACGACAAACGCTGCGAGGCATCTCAAAAGCCGCTAGGTAAGCGTCTGCGTCTGACAAGAGATCGAGGGCAGCATCGCTCGATGAATTCGGATGTCACGCCTACACTAGTGCTGTTCGGTAGCGTCAGTAGGCTCGGCTCGAGTAGTGCCCTCGACGTTCGGCGTCCAACAGGAACGCCGCCGGGAGAATCCCGCGGGAATCCCCTGCCTCCATTGTCCATCACCCGAGCTGACCCTGCGTCGAACGTCGGCTTGGGAACGGCAAATCGGCTGGCAAGAGCCGAACGAAGAAGCGCTGTAGCCTCCATGAAAGGTGCTCACATTCACTCCTTTGGCCAGCCGATGACGGTGAAGCGAGCGTCTTGGAGCTTCCCTCGGTCAAAGATGATCAGCGAGCGGTTCATTCGAGTGCATGCTCAAGCTCATCCCCCAAAGCACGTTCAGAGCTATCTGTGCCTCATCGGATCGCACCACGTCTCAACTTGTCCGGCCTGTGTATGTGCATCTGTGCCAATAGGCTCCTATTTCTCAACGACATGTGATCGCAGCTGACGGCGGCTTCTTCGCCCTCCATTCCCCTGCCGCGCAACGGCGCGCATCGCCCTCAGGCGCCGCAACTGACCGGCGCAAGATCAACTCTTCCTGACGACGCGATGAAAAGTTTTGGTTGCACGCACCCAAACCCATCGCTCTCCGCCCTCTAAGCGCAAAAGCTCGCACAACCCGGCACAGACCAGCAGAAAGTCATATCTCAGTGGCATTCCAGGGGGTGGTGATTACATAGTCTTTGCCCCGCTCCCGTACCTCACACCGGAATTCTCGCGCAGCACCTCGCGCACATCCATCAGCACCTTCCCGAGCACGTTTCGACCCCTCCCCGCGCTGTCGCCCCAAAAGACGTCGGTGGGGGAATCATTCACCAGCACGCGCTCTTCGGTTTCCAACAGGGCTTCGCGCAGTTTGCCCCACTGGGAGAACTTGACCAGCACCACATCGTGCATCACTTTGACGTTCAGGCCTTCGTTGAACCATCCAGCCGGATAATGGGATGTGTGGGAGCGGGCGATTCGCATAGCATCCGAGGGCGTCTTGGCTCGTCGAACTTTGGCTGCTAGATCTGGGCGATCGGGGAACTTGAGGGATTGGAACAGGTGTTCTGCGGTCGCGTAGCGGATGCCGTTGTAGTGCAGTGGGTAGGCGGGGGAGGAGTTGGACAGGTGGTAGTTGGGCTGGTCTTGGCGGAAAAAGGCGATTCGACCTTGGGCGTCGAGGGTGTGGGGAATACCGGAGCCGACTTCCTTCGGTGGACTTGGAGGTTGTGCTTGCGATGGCTGCGATGGAGATTGCGAGGGCTCTGCTTGGTTCGCTTGCGATCCAGCAGGGGGTGCGCCCGACGGTTGCGGCTGGGAACTCGATCCTGCAGCAGCAGCCTCACCGCCCACGAGGCTGGTGAGCGGCGCACCCGTCTCGACACCGTCGATGGTGTTGAGTCCCGTCTCGTTGGTTCCCTTGGGTGCGTCGGCGCCGGCGTGCTCCAGTGCATCGTGCGCCTGCTCGCGGTTGCTCTTCTTCCATGTAGAGGGTTTGAAGATGGACCGCCGCTTGGCAGAGCCCTCGGCGGCGGAGGTGTACGGGGTTGAGACTGCTGCTGACGACATCGCTGGGACGTCGGAAGCAGAACAGGTATGGCCGTTATGGAAGGTGCGTGCTTGCAATGAATCAAGATCTCGATATTCAGTCGGCGTCGAGAATGTGAGAAGCGATCTTCGTTCTAGCAGATTGCGACTGCTGCTTTTGTACCTTTCGCAACGCAAGGAGCTCTGTATGGCTTTGTCGACGATGATGGCAATGATGGTAAAGCAATCTCGTCACTATCCCATCCCACCTCCTCATCGACCGTTCCGGCAAAGCATCTCGGGCGTAAATGCGCAACGATTTGCATCGTACAGCCGACCAAAGCACGCCATTTTCTCCACTTTCTTCCCGAAATTCAACAGTCACGCCTTCATCCAGGCGAGCATCTGCGTGAACAAGCAACGTCATCCCGCACACCGCGCGCTTCCGCCGGACACCGATTCGGAGAGTTTTGCCACGGGACGCCATGTGCTTCGTCCCGGATGGCATGCCGACTCTCTTGCTCATAGCTGCAGCCGATCCGCACCCTGGTCAATCACATCTCGAATCTCACTCACATCTCGGACACCGAAGAGATACAGGTGCAACGAAAAGGTATTCACTTGCAAACTTCGATGAGGGCAGATATTTAGTGTACATGACAAAAAGTAGAGAGGGTGAGAGAGAGAGAGGTAGAGAAGTACACAAAACATAGGTACAAATCTCGAGGATCGAGAAAAGAGAGGAGAAGAGTCCGAGCCCAGATGATGGCAAACTTGGTATAGAGGGCACAGACGAAGGTCGCAGGGGGAGACAGGACATCACACCTTGATGGTGGCGCCAGCCGCGCTTGCTCCGGCATTCTTGGATCCGTCTGCGGAAGCAGAGCTCCACTCGCGTTCATGCTTGATGCCGCCGCCCAGCACATCCTCCTCGGACCGGGGTCGACCGCCTGCTCCTGCCTGCTGGCGTTGGTGCATGTGATCTGGGAAGCCGGGTCCTCTTGGCACACCGTGAGGAGCGTGTGCCGGTGCGTAAGCGCCACCAGGTCCCTGGGTCATGGGAGGACCCGAAGCTCCTGGGTGCATGTACGCCGGATGAGGAGCCATGTTGGCAGGAATGCCCATCTGTGAGGGTCCCATCGAGTGATGCGGGTCGACGCCGTGTGGTGGAGGAGCCATCGGCATGCCCATCGGCATTCCCATGGGCATGTTGGGCAGCGGAGCGCCTCCCGTAGCTTGCACCAGCTGGCTCTTGAGGAACATGTTTTCGTTGCGCAAGGCCCCAACGGTGTTCTGCAGGTTCTCGTTGTCATTCTGAAGGTACTCGACCTTGGCCTGCAGCGAAGCGAGCCACGCCTTCTTGCGCTGACGACACTTGAGCGCGGCCTGTCGGTTACGTTCGAGGAAGTTCTTGCGTTTGGCGTCCATATTGCCTTTGCCTTCTCCGTCGTCGTCGCTGTCCCACTGCTGATCGTCGTCGTCGCCATTCTCCGACTTGTACGATCCGCCGCCGTTGGAGCTTGAAAAGGAGTTCTTGCCTTGAGCCATGGCAGCAGCGTGGTCGTCGGTAGCGGCGGCGGCGGCAGCAGCAGCAGCGGCAGCCTTCTTGCCGCCTTTCGCGGTCTTGACAGCTTTGGCGGGTGGTGCGTTCATGGTCGTGGAAGCAGGGCCGGCAGCGGAGGTGCTGTCATCGACTGAGCCCGACTTCTTTCGCTTGTTGCCGTTGGGCTTGGCGGCGTCGTCCTTCTTGCCTGCAGCGGCGCCCTTCTTCGCAGCAGCGGCGTTGGGCTTGGACTCGTACAGCGAGGTCGAGGCGGCGTTGGCACCTTCGCGCTTGGACATCTCTTGGTGCGCACGGCTCAAGAGGAAGAGACCCGAAGCGGCGTTCTGCTGATCGCCGGCAGCGCCCTCCAGCTGCTTCTGCATCATCTGGGGACTGACGCTTTGCGAGACGCTGCCGTCCGAAGAGCCGCCCTTGAGCTCTGCCTTGAGCTTGGATCCAGCCAGCTTTCCGTCACCACGGTCGCCAGGGAAGGACCGGCTGAAGGCAATGTCGAAAGCGTTGTGAGCATCGGTGGGCTTGCCGGCAAAGTTCTGGGGGTGGGTGGACAGAGCACCGCCGGGAGCACCCCCTGCAGCACTTGGGTCCATGGATCCGCCGTTGGTGGCTGCGTTGGCAGCGTTGGTGAGAGCCGCGAGCGTGTTGGGAGTGATGGTGGCTGCCGAGGAGGGAGCACCTGAGGTGTTGTTGACCATGGCAGCGAGGAAAGCAGCGGTGTTGGGCGATGGAGGTGGGAATGACATGCCGCCTCCGAGTGGGGTCAAGCCGGTTTTGAAGTTGGACAGGTCTGGGGTGAAGCCGGTACGGAACGAGTTGGGGTCGAAGTGAGAACTTTGAGGACCGGCGAGCATGGCTGGCGAGAGAGGACCAGACCTCAAGGAGCTGGTGAGACTACCCGACCATGGGTACGCGTTGGTCTCGCCCGCAGGTGAAGTGATGGAGGCGACCGGTGGGAGCAGAGGCTTGGGCGTCGAGCCAGACTCCTGTTGTGGCGACGTGTTCTTTGAGTTGGAGTAGGTGCGATCGCGGTAGGCGGCGCCGGGACGAGTGGAGAGAGGAGGCGTGCTGACGGCGTTGGTCTTGCCCTCGACCTTGCGGCGCTCGACGTTCTCTGACGAATCGGGGCCTGAGCTGAAGGATTTCTCGAACGGGTTGGGTTCGAGGTGGTGCTTGGCGGTGGAGCGAACGGGCGAGCTCCTGCGGAGTGGCTTGGCCGGAGGCCTTGTAGCTGTGGCTGGACGTGGTGATTGGACAGCGATCATGGTGGATGAGGATGGTGACGGCGATGGTGGTGAAGTGGGTATCAAGGACGCGTCAGTGGTGGTGGTGTCGTCGAGGTGGCCATCGAGAATGGTGGTGGTGGAGGAGGACAGGAAGGATGGAAGGATCGGAATTGGGACGAGAGCAGGAAAGAGGAGGAGGAGCAAGTCAGTGAGCTGAGCACGGTGATTGCTGCGGAGAACCGAAATCCGGGATGGGCAGGCGGATCGCACGATCCGCGACGGACAGCATGGGGCTGGACAATAGGCGAGCTCAAGAGGACCCGTGAGTCCATCGATATCGGCGCTAGAACTAGACGAGGCTAAATTGCAGCTCTGCCCTTGCATCGATGCTGCTGCCGCGAATCCTCCATCGATCCAATTGAATGCGCCTTTCAATAACGCCCATCCTTTGTGGTGCTGGTGTTGACCACTTACCTGTTTCAGACATGGTCGCTGAAGTGTCGTCCGAAGTGTATGAGGTGGATCACACTTGCTGTCGACGCTGAGCAAGACGGGGAGAAACAAGGGTCCAGACGAAGGGTGTTGAGCGGTGCCTGGCTGTTGAGAGTGCAGGGCTGGTGGAGTGCCGGTGTGTCGAGGTCGAAAGCTCGGTAAGGTAGTAGTTGGGTCGTGGCGCAGGGATGGTGGATTCGGGATAGGAACCAAAGGGAAGGTTATGACGAGGGTATGACGATGACGATGTTGTTGAGAAGGAAGGAGGAGGAGGGGGTAGACAAAGAGATGGTCTTGCGCGGTCAGCCGGGGCGGGAAACGGCTGAGCAGCAGGTCAAGTCAAGTCGCCGAATGTGTGTGATCCGGATTGGTGGTGGAGGCGGTAGACGAGCAGAGGAGAAAGGATGCCGATGGAGACGATGTGCGTCCGGATGGGCAGATGAGATGGATGGCAAAGGAAGAGAGAGATAGGATCAAGTTTTGGGTGCGTCGATGCGGGTGGAACTCGAGTAGAATGCGCAGCAGAAGCGACTTGGGGTTCGGCAACGGGTTTGGCAGAAGAAGCTGTCGGTCCTGACCCTTTGTCTGTTGTGTGTTGGCAGTGTCGGGGGAGAGACAAACAAGGATGGGGTCCGAATCAGGGTGCAAGATGTCGATGAGGCGTGGGAAGGGAGCCAAGTGTGATTGTGCCAAAGCAAAGCTGCGATGGTGATGGAATTTCGCAGCTCAGCTTTCCCAGCCCAGGCGAGCTTGGATTTCAGCTCTCTTTCTTTCCAGTCGGATCGGCTCGATGCGCGGCAAAGACACCAAAATGGCAAAATTTTATTTTATTTAATCTAAAAATGGGCTTAGCTGGCAGCACCGGAAAGGAGCTTAAATTTTCCGTCAAGCCGTGCCTACTGAGCTCAGCCTCTCTCATTCATATCACATTTCTCTCCCACGCTCTTGCCAGCTGTCACACATTGATCGCGAGGCAGCCGAAAGCACACGACTCAGCGTCCACACGGTGTGAGTGTGGTGGAAGAGGATCATCCGATTAGCGCAGACGAGCAACAAACAGATGGAGTGCTCGCTGAGCTGCCACGCGGTGGTGCATTTGTGTGCTGTGTGCGCTGCTGAGTTGGATTTCGAGGATCGCTCTCCCGTCTGAGACCAATTTGGCAGTCGCTTCAACCCTCCTATCGCGCAATTCCCGTCGGAGCACAGTGGGCTTTCCGGGCTTTTCCTTCTTTGTCGGTGTTCTTCAACGAGGCACGAGCTGTGCATGCAGCACAACACAGCAGCAGCAGCACGTTCCTTGCAGGAGAATCCAGCGCTTCACACTACTTTGCCAGCTATTGGATCGCGGCATACAAAGGGGCGTCCAAGGAGGCGTTTGGCCAAGCCACAGGGGGGATCAAGAGCGGGCTGCCTGGCTAGACCTCTGCTGTATAGCCGAGATAGCAACTATGCTACGGCAACTACACGCTTTACATACGGGCAAAGTCGCCGGGCATATCGGTCTCTACAATATCAGCCAGCCGAAGTGTCTTTTTGTCGTTTGCGAGTCGCCGCTTCAACGCTCGTTTACAGGACTCGGGCGAGTGCGAGCCACACCCTACTCATCGGATCCGCCCTGTGGTATGTTGTGGGAGTCTTTCGCACGCCATCGGACTCGCCCGAACCACAGAGCCGTCTGTGGTACGACGACATCCACCTTTCATCTCAGCGCAAGCCCATTGTCGGATCGTGTACAACCAAATCCCGGACGGTCAACTCCGTTTCCTCTCGCTGGTGCTGCTCTTCACCGGGATCGACGCTGCACCTTGCTCCAACCGGACCCCGGGGCTTTGGCGCCTGCAGCATTGTTTGCGATCGTCGATGTCGACGGCCAACACGCAGACCACATGCATTCATCCCTCGCTTGCGGTTTCGCCTTTGTCTCTCCAGGGATTCGGCACTGCTCTTGCAGTGGAAGCTGTCCAGCAACTTAACGTGGGGGAAGGGCAACCGCGTGTCCTTGGCGTGGGTCGGCGGAGAATGAGCAAAGAGGTGTGGGATGTCCTCATCGAGCATCGTACCACTCTGCAGCTGAGCTCAAAACCAAGGATGACGTAAACGATGACGCAATCACCGCAAGAATTGAGCACTCTGCGCAGTGCTCCTTGAGGTCGACGCACCACACGCCAGCCTCCGCTCATTCGCGTTTCGCGTTTCGACAATTTTTTTCAGTAAAATGTACTTAGCGGCCTAACAATTGACTCAAAATGCTTGCGCCTGGCGAACACTATCGCTGACGCCCATTGTCAAGTAAGGCAAGCGAGGCAAGGCAAGGGTCCCCTTTCACTCACGTCACCCTGTCATTGGCCCCGAGGGTCTTCCTTCTTTGCCGCCCGTCTGCCCTCCTTGACAGCTGAGCCAAACAAACGAGCGTCACCAAGCGTCGATCCTTCGCCTCCGGCCGCCTGTATAGCCTTGAAGCTGTACGCCAATCTGCTGTGTCGCCCAAGCCTGTCCTGACCGTTCCGTGAACTTCTGTGCTCCGGTCCACCACTGTAGATGGCACTCTCTGCCCTACAAAGGTCACAGACAGAGGCTAAGAGCGATCTCGTATACACAAACTGCTCTTCCGCTGCGACGATTGAGCCCGAGTGCGATCGCCCTTTGCTCTGATCCCTCCGAAGTTCGCAGCTGCTTTCGATCGCCAAAACAACGAAGCAGGACCTCAGAGCACCACCAAGGACTGCCTGCCGAGAGCCAAACAAATGCGAATTGCGATGGACCGATGCGATGACTGGAAATGCTAGAGACCATACGAGCACACGAGAGCGCTCGTGTAGCGAGATGAAACCACGACGACCCTTATCCAAACCTCCTTTCTCCTCCTCCACGAGTTGCGGCAGTGCTATCGAAGATTCGTCTCCTGCAGCGTCCTAACCAGCACCCCTTCCGCACCCTCACTCGGCGACCTCCTCATCGAGAGCGGATACCGATCCCCAGTGCTGGACGCCGAGCCTGTCCTTTTGGTTCTTGTCGTCGTCAGTCCTCCGCCAGCGCTGAACATCGTTCCAGACGGCAAGTTGTGCAGCCGCAACTTGATCGGCGAGGTCGGCACATCACCTTCATCGTTGCTTTCCTCGGTGTCATCGTCGTCGTCGTCGTCGTCCAAATCCGCGACCAAGTCGGGTGCGTATACTTTGACCAGTTCGAACCGTTCCTCCGGTTCCAGGTTGCACAGAGCTTCCATTCCACCTCGCTCGTTCTCCTCCACCGCCGGCACCCCTTCATGCGGCAAGAAGTCGCACAGGATCCTCGTCAGCTCCTCGCCGCGCATCACGCTCAACAAAATCGGCGCCTTTTCCACCGTCACCACTTTCCTCTCTTTTGCCCCTACAAACAGCCCCGCCACCTCCTCGCCCACCTTGCGCTCGTACGGCAAATCTGTATCGCCCTCCACGACGAGCACTCTGCACCTCACTTTCTCCAGCACCTTGGCCGGGATGGCAGAGCGCAACCAGTACAGGTCGAACCACCAATCTCTCGCCGCCTCTAAGCCCTGTGGGTGAAGAACGAGCCGGTCGAGCCAGGTGCGCGAGAGGTAGGACGAGATGTGCTGCGGGATGCTTTCGAGACTACCAGCCCAACGGTAGGTGAAGCCTTGCACCACCTCCCCGGGTAGCTTGATGGGTGGGTGTGACGGGCGCCGTTGCCCGAGTTGCGTTCCGAGTTGCTCTCCCGTTCGTGATCCGGGTTGCTGTTCAGATTCGCCTCGATGGACGCTCTGCCACGACTCTTCGAGTAGCTCCTTGATCCCTTGGAAACTCTCAATCATGAACCCGCTCTCGGCCTCCAAAATCGGGCTGGTGATCACCACACTCTCGAACCCACCCTTCCACACGGCCGCCATCCGCGCAGCGACCAGACCGGACATGCTACACGCCACCACATGGATGCCTCTCTCCCAGTGCTCCTTCCCACCCAGTAGCAGTCGCAGAAAATCCAGGCAGTCGGCAGCTTTGATGTCCAGATCGTACTTCCCGCCCTCGGCGGGGATGGGAACGTCTTTGGTCAACCCATGACCGCGCGGGTCGAGGGCGAGGAGGTTGAATCGGGAGGAGAGGGTCGGATCTGCTAGTTGGGAGGCGAACAGGTGTGCGACGGAAAAGCACTCCGATGGCAGGAAGAGGAGGATTGGGTAGCGCGGGTCGAGTTGCACCGCGTTTTGAGGGGGTCGGTGCGAGGTCGGCGTCAGCGGCGATGTGGGGAGGAGGGACGAGGCGAGGAGGGTGGACGAGGTGCGTGCGTGAACGAAGGTTGGGTGCGAAGGCGTGGATAGGAGGTAGTGCAGGATCACCGAGTCGGGGTGGAAGCGGAGGAGCGAGGGGTTGACGGGGAGCGCGAGGAAGGGCATCCTGACTTTGAGGTGTGTGCGGTTGGATCACTGGACGCGTGTATGCGCTGTGGGGAGATTGTGGGCGTTGCCGGACGTGCTAACGTAGACTTCGGTTCGTCAGTGTTCGTGGATGTCCCTTGTTGACGTCGCCGTCGTGGGTTCGTTGTGGAGATTGTCGGTCCTCGCTGGGGTCGTAGTCCTGTGGATGATGCTGGAGTTCTGATGGTCGAAGAGCTTGAAGCGCTCGAGTATTGATAATCGAGGAGCCCGAAGATCCAGGCGCTTCAGTGTGGAAGCTCGAAGTGAGACGATCGAAGATGGATGAGGTCGAGAAGCCAGGCCATTGAATACCGATCAGTGTGGGAGCGTCAACGGCAGCGTCGATGGAGTTGTGCCGTCGCGCATCTGCCAGAACGGCTGTTGGATCGTACGACGAGGCTGTATGCCCTGGGTGGTCGAGGGGTTGGCGGACGCATCTGCCTTTGATCCACTGGGTCTATATACCTCTCACTCTCAACCCACACACTTGCGCATCAGAGCTTTCCCACCGGTGCCTGGTGCTTGCTAGCGCGGCTCATTCGGGCCGTCGCCCGCTTGAAGCGCCTCCACCGACGTCGCAGCGTCGTACATGTGGCGTACGGGACGCAGACCCTTTTGCTGAGTCTCAACTCTAAATTGCACCACCTCCTTACCCAATCGCTGGTCTGAGCACACCTCCTCCCCTGTGCGAGCGCCACGCATGTGCAAGGGGAATGAAATCACATGCCAGCCGTTCCACCGCCGAGAGCGGGGGTGGTGGCTTCTCCCGTGGCGCCACGCAAGGGCAAGGGCGGGTTGCTGCACCTCGCCCGCGCTAGTGGAAGCACGTCGGCTGCATGCGCGAGACCACTCGGCGCCACAAAAATGCTCTCTCATGTCCAAATTAGGTCGATGCAGGCCTGCTCGAGACGCGAGATTCAGGCTTGCTCTGTGCCCTCATGGTGCTGCCACCCGCTCTCAAGCTCTCGTGGACAGCAAGCGCTCCACGAATCGAGATCAAAGCCTCGCACGCGCCACAAGGCTGCACAACCACCACACGGACAGACACGTTTGAAGACAGCTTCGAATTCCATACTGAGAAAAACAGGATCAAGAGGTTGCAGTGAGAAAGAGGGCGAGAGAGCTGTGACCAGCTTGAAGCGTGTCATGACGCAGATACGTATATGATCTTGGTGAGATGGTGGTCTACGCAGCAGCAAACGGGTTGGGAGCGGACCAAGCGCCCTCACCCGGCTTAGCGCTCGAGTCCATGGGATGCGGGAACGAGGTGCCAACATCCGCACCACCTGCGCCGGCAAGAGCCGCGTTGTTGACACTGGTAGCAGCATTAGCATTAGCGGCACCGAGCGAGTACTCGTCGCCGTACCTCTCCTTTGCGTGACGCTCCAGAATACCCGCCAGGGGACCCAAGAGCCTGGTGAAAGCCCTCTCGCTCATGGTGACCACGCGCAGCTTGTTGCCCGCCGAGGCAGCAGCGACGGTGGCCGCACGAGGAGCTTGGTTGAGCAGAGCGAGCTCACCAAAGTAGTCTCCCCTAGAAAGCTTGCCGACGACCTCCTGGTTGCCACCCTCCTTGGTCTTGCGCACCTCTGCATCGCCTTCGACGATAATGAAGAACTCGACGCCACGCTCGCCTTGAGTGATGACCGCCTCGCCGGGCGCATACTCTCGCAACTCGAGACTGTCCGAGATCTTGGCGCGCTCGGCTGCCGAGAGACGCTCAAAGAGGGGAACATCCATGAGAAACTTTTCGTAGAGGGCACGGCGGCGCGAGTTGGTCTCCATGAGAATCGAACGGAAAGTGATTCGGTCGAGCGCCCACAATGTGCATGGCGAGGTGGAAAGCACAGTGGCAGCACGGGGTTGAGCGTAGAGCAGCGCAAGCTCACCGAACGACGAGCCGGGACCGTACGAGACCTTCTTGTCGCCCAAGCCAGACGCAGGCGCGGTTTCGCCGTTGCGAGGTGGGGAGCGGACGTAGACGTCGAGCGTACCGGACTCGACGACGTAAAAGTAGTCGCCCTGTGCGCCTTGCTCGATGACGGTGACATTCGCCTCCACCTGGACCTCCTTCATGGCGAGCAGCACGTCCCTGTACTGGTCCTGCTCGAGGTTGCGGAAGAGGAGATTGTTGCCGATGGAGCCGCGGATCCTCTGCATCTGCTCTTCGGATTTGGGGATGACAGTCTTGGGGAGCGGCGATCCATCCGACTGTGCGTTGACTGCGGAAGGAGCCATGCTCTCTGCCGAGACGGAAGTTCGCCTGCCGAGGTTGAATGCGGGTGGAAGAAGGGATGCATTGGAAGCCGAAGTGGGTGGGAAGCTGGTGGGTGGCGCGGGTGCTGATGCCGTGTCTGGCGATGCATCCATGGGTACTGGCGCTGAAGCAGTGGGAGGAAAGGACGAGGAGGGTTGAGCGGATGCGAAAGGATCCGAGCCAAAGATGGAGCCGCGTTGTGTGGGAGAAGCTGCACCAGGAGCCACGCCGCCGAAGCCGACATCGCTCGGACCTAGCGAGGCGCTAGGAGCGGAAGCAGCCGCGAGGAGGTTGGGGTTGGATGTGATGTGTTGACGGCGTTGCTCTTCGAGTTTGGCGTTGAACCAATTTGCGCAAAACTGGACGGGGTCATTGGGACGCGCGCGGGCGACATCGCGATTGAGGTCGTTGAGCAGCGCCGTGAAGTTGGCTGGGCTCGACATGGTGGTCGATGGTGCCGTTAAAGCAGAGGTGTTGGATGCGGGACTGATAGTAGCCGGGCCGAGTGGGACGCTATGGTTTCAGTCGACTCGACGCTAGTCTAGACTGTGGTTGCAATCTGGTTGGTGCTGATGGTGGTGATGATGGTGTTGGTGATAGCGACAGAGATGAACGAGGATGCGATTGTGCGAGAAGCAAGATGTGCACCAGATGCGTTGAAAGGGAAATGAATCTGAATGAATTGTTCTCGCCAGTTTGACAGCTGCTGAGTTTAGTCTTTGAATAATTGGTCGGTGCGCAACAGAGGCAGTTAGGCGCAGCAGCAGCCAGCTCAACACAGAGAACGCATTTGGTCGAGTCGCAGCTCCAACCGAGGCGGCTGCAGAGCGTGGAGCGTGGGTGAACCCTTTTTGACTCCAATTTGGACGGATGCAGTTGCAATTTCGGCGCTTGCTAGCTGAGCCCATTCGACCCTATCCTGTCACTTTGCCCGACTGATACTCGCACCGCTGCGTCGCAGTCACCCTGGTGCTTGTTTGCATTGCAGCTGAGCCAGATTGAGATGCAACGTCTGAATGAGCTGATCTCATAAAGAGAGCTTGCTGGGGCAATGACAGCGTCAGAAGTGGCGAAATGCGGTTGATACGCGCTATCGTGGCTTGAGAAACATGGCTTGGTTTTGGTTGTTGGTGCACAGACGTCGAAGCGAGCGAGCATCGTGGCAATTCGCTCAACTCGCTATGCACTCTCACTCTCTTGGCTTGCCTCAAGGTCCCTTGTAATACTAGCACCGGTCAGTGCATACCAGATTGCACTCTCTGTTAGCCCGTCTTGCCGCAAAGCATTCTGATGACAGCAGAAGCAAAGCAGCCAGCGGCCAAGTTCGGATAGTGAGCCAACAAACGAGTGAGTCAAAGCCACCTCACAGAGTCACCGCATTTAGGCTCATTTCAGAGACACAGAGTCACGCCAGCTGCTTTGGCGTGTGAACCAGATCAAACCTCGACCCGCTGCGCACAGACATTTTCAAGACTGATTTGATTTTTGAGCCGTTGATTTAGCAGATAGGGTCTAACACGTTTTGTCTCGAAAAAAGGTGATCGTCTCGAGTCGGAAGCGATAGGAAGACGGAAATTCACGCTCGGGCTCAATGGCCGGCACACACGCAGTCTGGAAGCCCCGATTGCTTGTCGAGTTGGAATTCAATGTTTCGTCGCCATCGCAAATCCTCGTCGTCGTCGCCGTCTCCAGTCATCACCTTCTCTTCTCCACCCACCCACCTCTCATCTACCCTCCTCCGCCTCATACAATCCGACACAATGGCTGCTCGTGCTGCTGCAGTGGATCTCGCCAAGATCTCCAACTTGGGTCTTGGCAAGAACACCCTCGCTCAGATCTCTGCTTTCCGCAAGCGCGCCGACGACGCTAAGCGTCAACTCGCTCAGCTTAAGCAGCAGACCACCGAAGTCGACTTTGCCCACTACAACAAGGTTCTCCGCAACAAGGACGTCGTCAACCAGGCTCAGAAGATCCTCTCCGAGTTCAAGCCTGTCACCTACGACGTCCAGGCTCAGCTCAAGGCCATCGACGCCTTCGAGTCCAAGGCTGTTAGTATCTTTCTTCTCAGCATAGCCTCGCTGCTTCATTTGCTCCGCATCGTCAACCCATCATCGCACCGCATCGTCCGTCATCGTATCGCATCGCTCCGACCGACCTGTCATCGCATCGCCAATTCGCATTCTCGCCCGGTCGCCTTGCATGTCTCGCCTTAGCCTTGAGGAACCCTTCAGCTCGCACCTTCGACATGCAAGTTGTAAGCTCAAGGGTGCCACGTCTAGCTGCACATCTGCCTCGCATATGGAAGATCCATACAACACACCCGCAGATGCAGCCACAATCACAGAGGCAGCAATCGGTGTTGTATCCTCGGCGTTTCGAACTGCCAGCCCGTCTTCGAACAAGCAAGACCTCATCCGCGACTCGACCTCGACGCCGGTTGACCCTCGTTGTTGCACTGCTCATCGGATTTGACCCTGTCACATCATAGGCAGTCGTCTGCGCCGTCATCTACTGGAGCTCGTACAGACATATGTCGCTCTGACATGGTCAAATCATACATGTCGGCTCTTCGCACTTCATTCTATGTCTCACATGGCAAAACTCAGGGACAGTCGACTACTCGACATTGAAGAAGCACGACACAGCATCATTAGCGGGTTTCCTCGCGCCAGCACTTTCCCAAAGGCCGACCTCCAACGTCCCTGCGCACCGACACTGACCACGACCAACACCCGACCAACATGGATCGCACTGCAATGGCATGCGATGAGTGCGGCACGTTACTTGCGATCGATGCGACGATGTGACTGCGATGCTGTGGCGATGCGACGATACATTGTGGCTGATGATGCTCCAGCATGATAACGATGTGGTCGACGATGCTCTGCTACCAACTTCCTCGCGGCATTTCATACTGACATGCAATCTCTCGCTTCCATACTTCACTACTAACAGGTCGAGCAAGCTCAGGCCACCTCGTCCAAGATCGAGGCCGAGCTCAAGGACCTCAAGTCCACGCTCAAGAACATCGAGGACGCTCGTCCCTTCGACCAGCTCACCGTCGACGATGTTGTCGCCGCTCGTCCCGAGATTGGCCGCACCGTCGACGAGATGGTCAAGAAGGGCAAGTGGACCACGCCAGGCTACGACGAGAAGTTCGGAAGTGAGTATTTTCTACATTCGCAGGCGAGGGACTCGCGGCTCGGGTCACGCTCGGTCCCACTCTATCCTGCGCAATCAGATCGTCCATGTGCTCTCCTTGCTGACGCTCGCTTTTCAATCCTACTCACGCTTTGCCCACCACAGACCTTTCGGCTATCTAAGCTCAAGGTGCGAATCTCTCTCTGTAATCCGGTCAGCGACGTTGTGTCGTTTGCATCTAGAGGACACACGTTTGCGCAATTATATTGAAACTGAAAACATCGTGCTGGTAGCGTCTGGGCCGACGCCCTTAGCCGAGCGACTGGTTGAGGCATGGTCGCTGGGAACGAGAGAGAACAGTCGCATGTTGGCAGGCCGGAATCGATCGGCACTCTTGCCGAGCGATGGACCCGGGGATGAGCTATGAGCGGCCGTGCGCCAAGCTGCAGCATCGCAGTTTGTCGACAATGCTCAGTGCACCGATGGTAGTCGCCATGCGGTCGTTGGCAACAAAGCTGTACTGAAGGCCCTGGCACTTTCGCTGTCATTTGAGTCCGGACACGAGTCGAGTCAGCCCAGAATCGACGTCCGGGCTGTTCAACTATTTGACACCCTTCATCGATGATCGACGACGAGCGCACCACTATGTACAGTCAAGTACCATCCCTTGCCTCCGGGTCTGAGCAGATCTCGTTCGACGTCAGTCAGGCAACGGTCGGGAACCCGATGTGTGAAGTCCTCAAGCTCAAACCTCGCTCACCTTTGCCTGATGTCAAGCAACGCGCTCCGACTTCTCGCGCGGCTTCGGTTTCAGGTTTCGAAGTTCAATCTACTTGTCTCGTAGCTACGGTATAACATTTCGGGTTTTATACCAGGTGCTTCGGCCGAGCTTTTGAGTCACGTGTTGGCCAAAAGGTGAAATAGGACACTCGCAAAGTGCCTATCCTGAAATTCGGCTTCATCGTGAACAGACACACGGCATGGAGCAGCACAGCGCGACAGAGCAGGCGCTTTAGACCGCCTGCGAGCAAGCACCGGCGTGGAAATTCGAGGCAGCAGGCTGGCACAAATTGCCATTCAGCTGGAGCGAGCAAGAACAAGGCAGCACAGCGCGACCCATTCTCAGCTGAGACGGTGCGAAGGGTAGCGAGCAAAGTCGGCTTCTACTCGCTCGAAGCTGCCAATCTTTCCTACTGTCATCCACCACATTCGTCAAGGTAAGTCGTCGCTTTCGAATGCGCATTCTCGAATCAGCAGGCATGGCACACACAACAGTACGACACGACACAGCATTGCAGGGCTCAGCATCGACAGCAGACAGCATCTATGGCAGGAAGTTCAGCATCGACATTCAGTCCAGGGCAACACACTCTCCCGAGCTTACCCTCAGAGGGAGCATTCCGACACGACATGGACTCGACTTCATTGTTCAAGGGACGTCGCGACTTTGGGTTTGCAACGGGCATCGTTGTTCAGTGGTGGGGAAATTCGGAATCAAGCAGAGCCCGTGTGGGTAGGCGTTGATGGAGGGGATGACTGTCTTCCAATGCGTACGAGATGGGCTTTGGATTCGACGGTGGTGGTCTGATAGTCGGATCTTGGCGAACTATTCGTCGCGATCGAAAAAGCGACGACGCGAGGCTCTCAGCATCGATCTCGGCACAACGCACTCAACTGCTCGGTTGGCACAATTGAAGGCAGGTCAGCCGTCATCCCTGAGCCGACGCCTCCGCCAGATGTCTCCTCAGCATAGTCGCCATGCTTGGACAACTCGTCTGCACTATACTCGCTTTTGGCTGTGGTTGCAATGACGCCGCAAGGTCCACGACATCGAGCGGCCGGGCACGGGAACACCATGGCCCGCCGCATCGACCCCTGTGCCCCACCTCAAATCGTCTCACCATCCCTCCGACCTGCTCCGCTGCATCATCTTGGACTGCCATTCACCAATCGCCGGCGCTTACGACGATCGACCAGCTCGACTGTTCTGCTGTGTCCATTCTCTGTGCCAACGTCCGCCGTGTCTCCATGCCCGCCGATTCGCGTCGATGCAATTATATTGAAGTAGCAAGCCAAACCCAGCCGCTGACCATCTACGCCTCATTCCTTGCATTTCAACCTCCCAGATGCCTCCCAAGAAAGCTGCCATCGCCGCTGCGGCGTCCAAGTCCGCCAAGAAGAAGAAGTGGTCTAAGGGCAAGGTTAAGGACAAGGTACGTTTTGCTCGCTCATCTCTGACTTCCTCCCTGCGAGATCAGGTTGCTGACATCTTTCTTTCGCTGCCTTCCAACCGAAACAGGCCCAGAACATGGTCGTCCTCGACAAGCCCACCTACGACCGAATTCTCAAGGAGGTGCCCACCTTCAAGATGATCTCGCAGTCGACGCTCATTGACCGCATGAAGATCAACGGTTCGCTCGCCCGTGTTGCCATCCGCCACCTCGAGCGTGACGGCCAGATCAAGCGCATCATCCACCACCACGGCCAGCTCGTCTACACCCGTGCTTCCGCCGAGTAAACGTTTTACCAAATCGACCATTCTCGAAAGGAAAAAGCGTCTCGGTTGGGTTCACTTGCATCTGTATTCTTCACACACTCACACATAGCCATGTAAGGAAGCTCTCTCCGCTCTGGCACACCAAAAATACACATTCCGCTCCAAGAGCGTTTGCGCTTCAATACGTCTGCGTGTGACTTGGGCATGACTGACTGTCGTCGGTCGAGCTCGTTTTGAAACTGTGAATTGGTCGATGTACGGACGAATGGTAGGCTGAGTGTCGCTCAACTCGCAGAGTGCTGATCAGCGCCATTGTGAGTCTGCCATGTCCGAGCGTCCAGGAACCCTCTGTGAAGATTTGGCGGATACGACGGAGCTCATGCACACTTGACCTCTCAAATCGTCGTCAGTGCGGGATCGCTTTAGCTGTTCGCCTCCTTCTTCAGTCAGAGTCGTGCTCTTGGGGCGTTGGAAGAATTGGTATTACAAATCGCTGTGCCTCTAGTCCTCTGCGACGGTTCTCAACTGTCGGAATAATAAAGAACGCAGTGTCAGCCTCTATCTCACCGCCCGCTGGCCCTCATCTCGGCAACGTACCTGCAAACCATGGATGTCCTTGATGACGTCCTTGAGCTCCGAGTTGACGAGTCTATGCGCCTTGACCGTCGACATGCCCTTGAACTCCTTGGAGCTAAGCTGGATTGCGTAGAAGCTTCCGCAGCCGCCTGTTGCGCTCAGCACAAACAGAAGAGGTCAGCGAAACGATTGCAGAGCACACGATAGCGCTGATGGGTGAAGCTTACCGCTGACATCCTGCACCTTGAGCACGGCGGGGTTGAACTTTGCTGTGAGGATCTCGCGGATCTTTTGCTCTCCTGCTGTCACCTGCTCTTCTTGCGACGGTGCGGCCGTGGTGTTGGCGACCATGCGGGTGGTGGTGAGGCTTCGCAGAGGCGCCGAGAGGGCCGACCGCCTCGCGAGGGTGCTGCGCGCTGCTGTAGTGATGCTGCCGAACATGTTGCTCAGTAGATGGTAGCGACGTTGCAAGACAGGAGCGCGAAGCTGGGTCTGACAGGTGGAGAAAGCGTTGTCTTCATTACCAATCCGACCCGATTCAGACGCATATCGGCTCGGACTGACTCGGATTTCATGCTTTTGGAGCAAAAATTAAGACGTTTGCTTCTCCGCACAGACTTGTGTGAAAGGCCTTTCTTCCTCCATCATCATCATCATCTACAGGCGAACGATGGCGGACGACAACACAGACGCACCCGCGCAATCTGGCTCGGCGTTCTTCGATAGCTTCTTCGCCTCGGCGTTGCAACGCGCCAACATGTCCTCGGGCGAGCTGAGGGGGTTGAGCGACGAGCTCAGTGCCGCTGCTCATCCTGTCAACAGTACAACACAGTCGAACGACGTGCTCGCACCAGACGGAAACGGGTTGGACTGCGGACGCGATCCAGGTGATGTGCCTGATTCGACGGACACGGACAAGCTCGCACCAAAAGCATCCTCGTCGAACCCAAGACAGCTGTCCGCCCTAGCCAACGGCGTATCATCGCTCAACCTCGGACAGGCGAGTCCCGGAGCGCCGTCCAGCTCTTCTACATACGTCCAAGCGAGCAGCTCCTCCCCGATCTCCCCCTCCGCCTCTGCATCCGCCTCGATGCTGCAGCACCACACTTCGGCGCGTGCCGCCGCGACCGCGCTCCTCTCCCGCACCTCGTCCTCGCAGCTTGCCATGCATGGTGCGCCGTCCACCAAGATCGCCGCTGACCTCGATGCGCTCGCGACCACCCGCGGAGGCGGCCTTGGAACACCCACGGGGGAGCGCACGTACATCGGTTCCGCCTGGGCGCCTTCCGGAACCGCCACGCCCGTCATGGACCCCAACGGCCTCGGTTGGCCAGCAAAAGCCACGCTCGACCGTCTCAACCACACTCCCGCCCAAGCCGCCACCAACCAAGCCCGTCTCGCCTCGGCCATCGCCACCGTCCTCGAATGCATCGGCGAAGATCCTTCCCGGTCCGGTCTGCAAAAGACCCCCGAACGCTACGCAAAGGCCTTGCTCTGGATGACTCGTGGGTATGAGGTCAGGCTATCCGATGTCATCGCCAACGCCATCTTCGACGAGGAGCACGACGAGATGGTCATTGTTAAGGATATCGAGATCTTCTCCCTCTGCGAACACCACATGGTTCCTTTCACCGGCAAGATCCATATCGGCTACATTCCGAATCGACTGGTGATCGGATTGAGCAAGCTCGCGAGGATAGCGGAGACCTTTGCGCGACGGCTGCAGGTGCAGGAACGATTGACGAAGCAGGTTGCGCTAGCGCTGGATGAGGCATTGCGCCCGCAAGGCGTGGCGGTCGTGGTGGAGTGCGAGCATCTGTGCATGGCGATGAGAGGTGTACAGAAGCCAGGAGCTACAACGGTTACCAGTTGCATGTTGGGCGTCTTTAGGGACAGGCAGAAGACCAGGGAGGAGTTTTTGAGTTTGATCAACAAGCGATGATCGCCCCCCCCCCCCCCCCCCCCCCCC